CTCTCTCTCCCCTCTCTCCCTCTCCCTTTCCCCCTCTCTCTCCTCTCTCTCCCCTCTTTCCCTCTCTCGCTCTGCCTCTCCCTCTCTTCCTTCCTCCCTTCCTCCCTCCCTCTCTCTGCAGAGCCACCTGTTTATCCCAGCATCTCTCTCTCTCTCACTGCAGGACTAATTGTTTATCCCAGCATCTCTCTCTCTCTCTCTGCAGGGCTACCTGTTTATCCCCACATCTCTCTCTCTCTCTGCAGGGCTACTTGTTTATCCCAGCATCTCTCTCTCTCACTGCAGGACTAATTGTTTATCCCAGCACCTCTCTCTCTCTCTGCAGGGCTACCTGTTTATCCCCGCATCTCTCTCTCTCTCTGCAGCACTAACTGCTTATCCCAGCATCTCTCTCTCTCTCACTGCAGGACTAATTGTTTATCCCCGCATCTCTCTCTCTCTCTCTCTCTGCAGGGCTACCTGTTCATCTCGGTGCTGATTGGCACGGGCAGCGACCTCTTCAACCTCATCATTCAGAACATCAAGAACGACCTGCAGAGCCGCAACCCCATCTTCGTCTGCCTCGCGCTGCAGTGCATCTCCAACGTCGGCTCGATCGAGATGGCCGAGGCGTTCGCCGCCGACATTCCCAAGCTGCTCGTGTCGCCGTGAGTTACAGCTGCGTGTGCGCGCGCGTGCGGGAACGCGTTAGAGGTGCACGCGTGTGCTGCTGATGTGGCACCGTGTTCGTTACAGATACGAGCGCTCGCTCGTCACAGATACACATCACAGACATGCTTTGTAGTCATAGAAGATGCGTGCCACAGTCACAGCTACGTGTCACAGTCACAGTTATACATCACAGTCACAGNCTACACCATCACAGTCACAGTTATACATCACAGTCACAGCTACACCGTCACAGTCACAGCTACACTGTCACAGTCACAGCTACGTGTTACAGCTAAACAGTCACAGCTACACCGTCACAGTCACAGTTATACATCACAGTCACAGTCACAGCTACACGTCACAGTCACAGCTACACCGTCACAGTCACAGCTACATGTCACAGTCACAGCTACTTGTCACAGTCACAGCTACATGTCACAGTCACAGCTACACCGTCACAGTCACAGCTACACTGTCACAGTCACAGCTACACCGTCACAGTCACAGCTACATGTCACAGTCACTGCTACATGTCACAGTCACAGCTACATGTCACAGTCACAGCTACATGTTACAGTCACAGCTACATGTCACAGCTATGCGTAACAGTCACAGCTACGTGTCACAGTCACAGCTACATGTCACAGTCACAGCTACATGTCACAGTCACAGCTACACCGTCACAGTCACAGCTACGTGTTACAGTCATAGCTATGCGTAACAGTCACAGCTACGTGTCACAGTCACAGCTACATGTCACAGTCACAGCTACACCGTCACAGTCACAGCTACATGTCACAGTCACAGCTACACCGTCACAGTCACAGCTACGTATTACAGTCATAGCTACATGTAACAGCTATGCGTAACAGTCACAGCTACATGTCACAGTCACAGCTACATGTCACAGTCACAGCTACAACCAGGGTAACAGCTAACCGTCACAGGTCAGCAGCTACGACGTGTTACAGTCATAGCTACACTGTCAGCAGCTATGCGTACAGTTTTCACAGCTACATGTCACAGTCACAGTCTACTGATCACAGTCACAGCTCATGTCACAGTCACAGCCTACACCGTCACACGTCACAGCTCCGTGTTAGCAACATCAGCTGATGGCGTAACCAGTCAAGCTACGTGTCAGCAGTCACAGCTTATTATGTCCAGTCACAGTACAGTCGTCACAGTCACAGCCTACATGATCACAGTCACAGCATACACAAGGGCCCGTCACAGTCACAGCAACCGTATTACAGTCATAGCTACATGTAACAGCTAATGCGTAACAGTCAGCAGCTACATGTCACAGTCGGACTAGCTACATGTCACAGTGCCACAGCTCACAATGATCACACGTCACACACACAACTCGGCTAGCGCCGTCACAGTCAAGCTACGTGTTACAAGTCATCCGGCTTACATTGCTCACAGCTATGCGTATACAGTCACAGCTACATGTCAAGCAGTCACACGCTACATGTCAGCAGTCACAGCTAATGTCACAGTCACAGCTACGTGTCACAGTCCAGCACGCAACGTGTACACGTCACCAGCTGCACGTCACACCATTCCGAATCAGGCTTTCATCGACCGACGTTACGCTAATGGCCGTGCTGGCGTAACGTAGAATGAAACGCCACATTCGTGTGCAGGGGACAGACGATCGCTGTCGTACCAGAGTGCGCCTCTGTCTGCTGCCGCTTGTTCCGCACTCCCCCGAATGCATTCCGCCAGGCGCGAGTACACGTCTCGCACGAATCCATCTAGTCAACGATCAGCACATGGTGAGCTGCGGGCAACCCTCTCGTCCTCTCTCGTCTCCGTCGCCCTCCACTCTCGCTCTCGCTATCTCTCTCTCTTCCTCATCTCCTCTCCGAGAATCTCTATTCTCTCGGTCTCCTCTCCTCTCGCTCCTGCTCTCCTCGTTCTCTCTCATCTCTCTCACTCTCATCTCTCTCTCTCTCTCATCTCTTCTCTCTCTATTCTCTCTCTCTTCACTCCTTCATCGCTCCTTCTCCTCTCTCTCTCGTTCTCTCCTACCTCCTTTCTCTTCCTCTCTCTCTCTCTCTCCATACTCTCTCTCCTCTCTCTCTCTTTCTCTCATTCTCTCACTACCTCCATCGTCGTCCTCACATCTATCTCTACTTCTCTCTTCTCTCTCTTCTCGCCCTTCGTCCTCCTCCTCTCCTACTCTCTCTGCATCTCTCTCTGCCCTAAAGATAGCCTCCAATGCCGACGCAAGGTATCAGACGGATAGAACGCAATACAGGGACAAAGACTGGTAGGCGCGAGCATCACATGGTAGGGAACGGTGGGGTTCATCAGTACAACTCCATGAGGGTTTCGCGTGGACTTTCCAGTCCCCCGCGCCTTAGCGTCCCCATCGTGAGCGGCATCTTTCTATGACCACCGGGCGATGCTCTCTCTCTCCTCTCTGTCGTCGTCTCTCTCTCTCTCTTCTCTCCCATCCTTTTCCTCATCCATCTCACCTGGAAACGCTACCCCACAATCTCTCTCTCTCTCCAACTCATGCATCCAGTCTCTATCTCCTATCAATCTCTCCTTCTCTCTCGCTCGGTCTCTCTTGCTTCGTCTTGCTCTCCTTCGTCAGTCCTCTACCTTCTGTCCTCTCCTCGTGCCTGCTCCTCCTCCCCCCCCTCCCGTGGACTGTACGTTAATGGTGACGTACTCGGTTAGGATCTAGTCTCAGGGCCCCACACCTGCTTAAGGTGTTCGCCCTGGTCTTTAATGGTTGACGGATGTAACAGTGCGGTGTTATGTGGACCTCCCCTGGCTCCTAACGGTAGGGTTATGGTGTCCTGATTGGTGTAGGGTTTTTGGATGAGCCTGGTCTAGGCTATACCCTGCGCCTCCATGCGAATAAAATCTGGTTAAGATTAGGCTCAAGCGGTGTTGGGTTAGGGTTAGGGTTGAGGTATCCTGGTTAGGGTTAGGGCTAGGGTATCCTGGTTAGGGCTAGGGGTAGATTGGTTAGGGTTAGGGTATCTTGGTTAGGGGTAGGGCTATATTGGTTACGGTTAGAGTAATCTGATTACGGTTATGGCTAGGGTATCTTGGTTAGGGGTAGGGCTATATTGGGTAACCAATCTAGGTAAGGGTTAACTTAAAATAAGCCGACCTGACTCGGGTACCCTGGTTGGGCTATACGGGGCTGGGGGGATTGGCGTTGGGCTTTCAGACTAGAACCCTTTAAGTAGGGCCAGTGTTACACAGCTGGGTTACGTATCGCGAGGGAAATGACTTTGAGGGCAGCTGTAGTTTGCAGCAGTCCTAGTTGTGGTACTGTCTGGGCATTGGGTGGCATTGGGGCCATTGGACGCAGTTTACACTATTAAGTGGCCCCCCCCGCCGCGCCCCCCGGCCGCCCACACCCGCGCCCCCCCCCCCCCCCGCCCGCCCGCGCGCGGCCCCGTGAACAAAAGACGAACATACTTTGATTCCTGTAGGAGAATCTATCAAAGATGTCTCTAAGAATAGCTGAGTTCGTGGGGAACAATACGCCACTAATATGGTACCGACACCAAGGTAGTACAATCACTACACTACCTGTAACCGTTGGTCGTACACCTGTGCAGTGAACCCTTTAAATCGCAAAGCTATAGTAGTATGAGTAAAAAGGGAGGGCCCTTGCATTGTGGAATCGGACTTGGGATCGTCGGCTGTTTCCTATATCCGTAACAGCCCAAGAAACAAATAAGGTGTTGGTTACCGTTTCCCTGGACCTACCTATCTTTATTCCCGCCAGCGCAGTCCCTAAACATTTTATTGTCATTTCCTTAAAAAGTAAAAAAAAAAAAAAAAATTTAAATAACAAAATATGAATTGCAGTTCCTGCCTTCATAACGGCACACACGCTCGAGCATCCTTCGGACATCGTTCGTAAAATAAAATTTGTTTCAGTAAAATAAAATGTTTTTGTCTACCCTACTCGTCCTTTTTTTTTGGACAATGAAACGGTAACCAACATATATTTTTGTTCTTGGCCGGTGAGGAGGTGGGTGTGTGTGTGGCTGGCTATGTAAGGGTTGTGGTCGTACGTCGTCACTGTGTGCGTGCTTGTGTGTGCAGGGAGTCGTCACAGCTGCTACAAGTCTCATCGAAGCTCTTGTGAAGAGGAATCCAGAGGAGTACACGGGCTGCGTGTCCCTCGCCGTGTCCAGGCTGAGCCGGGTGAGTGCATGCACGTGTGTGTGTGCGTGCGTGCGTGTGCGTGTGTGCGCGCACGCGTGTGTGTGTGTGTGTGTGTGTGTGTGTGCGTGCGTGCGTGCGTGCGTGCGTGCGTGCGTGCTGTATTTGCATGCACACGTGCATTTATGTGCGCTCATGCGTGCATACACATTATGTATGACATGTCTCCATCTGTGTGGACTTACGTGTGTGTGTGTGTGCGTGCGTGCATGCGTGCATGTGTGCGTGCGTGCATGCATGTGATTGGGTATGTGCTGGTGTGCGTGTGCGCGTGTACTTGCGTATGTGTGCGTGCGTGTATGTGTGCGTGCGTGTACTTGCGTATGTGTGCGTGCGTGTATGTGTGCGTGCGTGTGTGTGTGCGTGTGATTGCGTGTGTGATGTGTGTGCGTGTGTAAGTAGAGACTTGAACGGGCGATGCCTCCCTGCTGCAGATTGTGACATCTTCCTACACAGACCTGCAAGACTACACTTACTACTTTGTGCCTGCGCCATGGCTGTCAGTGAAACTCCTACGACTCCTGCAGAACTACCCACCACCTGGTAGGTGCACTTGTGCTTACACAACAGACACTAGTTACAGATCGTGCTTTAGCTTCCACACAACAGATGCATACAACCGCGTGTTCATTTAATCGTTGATGCTGACTCGCCTTTTCTCTGCCGCGCTTTGTGTAACAGTACTATCCTAACTTGTAGCATTATTTTTGTTTCTATTTTTATTTCTTTTCGTAACGGTGATTGGTGGTACTTGTGCGTAAGCCACATGTAAATGTTCTTGCTGGTATGGTACGACTGTAAGGTCTGTGATGGTGTGTCGTTGCCCGTTGTCATGACGCCAGTTTGTCTGGTTCTCCGCAGAGGACCCAGCCGTGCGAACGCGACTCACTGAGTGTCTTGAGACTATACTCAACAAGGCGCAGGAGCCGCCCAAGTCGAAGAAGGTTCAGCACTCGAATGCGAAGAACGCTGTCCTGTTTGAAGCCATCAGCGTCATTATACAGCAGGACAGGTAAGTGGCGGGGGGGGGGGCAGGGTTGGTCAGGGCAGGGCGTAGCCCGTCTGCCGAAGCTACGCAAAGCTAGAAGTTTTTTGGTTGTTGTTGACGTTGGCCAGTTACGAGTTATTGATATGTGAGTTGCTGATGCCATCTGGGCAACTGGTGACTGACTGAATCTAAATAGGATCTATTTACTGAACGTACCTTCTGAAGTAATATTACCCTGTGGTATAAATTTAACGTGAGCTCAAGTGTAGTGTAAGTTAGGAATTAATTGGGAGGGAGTATTATTAGATGTTATATAATAATAACAACCATAATAATAATAATAGTAATATACAGGTTAAGGGTAGCTAAGTAAATGTACAGGTAAGATAACTATAATGTGATAATAATAATAATAAAATTGAAATTGAAAACTAAAAATCAAACACTAACAAAATAGTAACGACGATGGCTAAATCGTTAGCAGAGTGAACCTAACTGCCTATGCGCGTCTGTGTTTCAGTGAGCCTAATCTGCTGGTAAGAGCTTGCAATCAGCTAGGACAGTTCCTGCAGCACAGGGAGACCAACCTTCGGTATGATTTCACTAATACTTCTTAGCTAATTATAATAATCTTTCTTTCTTTCACTCTCTATATGTTTGTATATATATATATATATATATATATGATATAATATACGCACAGGCACAGCTACCTGGCGCTGGAGACTGTGTCTACTTGCTACCCCTCTCTCTCCCTCCCTATCTCCCTTCTCCCTCACTCCCTTTCTCCATCCCTCGCTTTCTCCCTCCCTCCCTTTCTTCCTCACTCTCTTTCTCCCTCACTCCCTCTCTCCCTCCCTCTCTTCCTCCCTCCCTCGCTTTTATATAATCCTATATATACTATAGTATGACATGTGTTTTGCTCCCTCTCTCCCTCTCTCCCTCTCTCTCTCTCTCTCTCTCTCTCTCTCTCCCTCTCTCCCTCTCTCCCTCTCTCCCTCTCTCTCTCCCTTCCTCCCTCTCCCCCTTATATAATCATATATATACATAGCATGCTATACACGCATGTGCACACCTACCTGGCACTGAAGACAATGTGTCTACTTGCTCCCTCCCTCCCTCTTCTCCCTCTCTCCCTTCTTCCTCCTTCCCTCTCCCTCCCGCTCTCCCTCCCTCCCTTATATTATTAATCATATATATATATATATATATATATATATAGTATGACATACGTACATACCACGCTTATTGGCGCTGAGACGAGCGTGTGTCTGCTTGCCCCTCCCTCCCTCTTCTCCCTCTCTCCTCTTCCTCCTTCCTCTCCCTCCCGCTCTCCCTCCCTCCCTTATATTATTAATCATCTATATATATATAGTATGACATACGTACATACACAGCTATCTGGCGCTGGAGACGATGTGTCTGCTTGCTCCCTCCCTCCCTCTTCTCCCTCTCTCCCTTCTTCCTCCTTCCCTCTCCCTCCCGCTCTCCCTCCCTCCCTTATATTATTAATCATCTATATATATATAGTATGACATACGTACATACACAGCTATCTGGCGCTGGAGACGATGTGTCTGCTCGCGACGTCGGAGTTCTCGCACGAGGCCGTCAAGAAGCACCAGGAGACGGTGATCAACGCGCTGAAGACGGAGCGCGACGTCAGCGTGCGCCAGCGCGCCGTCGACCTGCTGTACGCGATGTGCGACAAGACGAACGCGGAGGAGAAGCGTATAGAGTAGTCTGCAGTCTCCAGGTACTGCAGCATGTGGTGCACGACCTCCCCATCCTCCTCTCTCGCTCACCATCTCCTCTCTCCTCTCCTCCCCCACCCTCCCTCTCCACCCTCCTCCCCATCCTCCTCTCTCGCTCACCATCTCCTCGCGTATAGAGTAGTCTGCAGTCTCCAGGTACTGCAGCATGTGGTGCACGATCTCCTCTCCTCCCCCACCCTCCCTCTCCCCCTCCTCTTCCACCCTGCGTATAGAGTAGTCTGCAGTCTCCAGGTACTGCAGCATGTGGTGCACGAAAGGAGATGGTGAGCGAGAGAGAGGGGGAGAGGGAGGGTCGAAGAGGAGGGGAAGAGAGGGGGGCACTGGAGGAGGAGGGGAGAAGGGGGCAGACACTGAGGAGATCTTGAGCGACTGTGCGGTGGGGTGGGAGGGGGGTCACTGGGGGAGGAGAGGAGAAGGGGGCAGACGCTGGGGATGTGGGGGAGGACCAGATTTCACGTTTATATGATATTACAATCCTTTTGCTTTTAAATTAATAAATAAGAAACACCCTCGGTCTCTGTAGCGCTTGGCTGAAAAGTGGTTTTGCGCAACTTTTCAGATCGTGCGCTTTGAGTGACGCCACCGTCGTTGTAATCAAACTGTAGTCGTTGGTTTTAAAACATAAAAAAAAAAAATTTCTAATGGTGATTGAACCATGAAATTTTTTATGTAGCGTAATTTTAACCTAAATTAACTGAAAACAACCCTAGAAGCTAGAGTAAAAGATTCCTTTAATGGAACTGTTGTGTTTAAAGGCAATACTGGCTACCTTGTTGTGTTCACACGTTCCTGTATGTGGCAGGTGCTGAAAGTTGCCATCTTGGCCGAGAAGTATGCTGTTGATTACAACTGGTATGTCGACACCATTCTCAACCTGATCCGCATTGCTGGCGACTACGTCAGCGAAGAGGTGCGTTCACTTGTTTTCCCAGCGAATTTAACCAGATTGCGGCGAAGCTGGGAGCAGAGGAGCGCGTAGGCAGGCAGACTCACAGACCTGTAGGCAGACAACCAGGCTGCCAGCTACCTAGATAAATGTTTCTTAACAATTATGTACAAATGCAACAGTGTAACAATGAGTGATGAATCTGTATATATGGTAACTGTTATCGTTCAGGTGTAGTATAGAGAGATGATCTAATCTATATTTCAGTTTGTATGTATGTATGTATGTATGTATGTATGTATGTATGTATGTATGTATGTATGTATGTATGTATGTATGTATGTATGTATGTATGTATGTATGCCCCCTATGCCCGGCCAAACCGCCCAAGCGATCTGGATGCAATTTTCAGAGGGGATTTCCTAGACGAAAAAAATCCCAAAAAAGTTGAAAAAGTTCAAAAGTTAAAAATTGATAACAATTCAATAGATGGCAGTGCGTACAGGTTAACATGACGTACGTGTGAATCCATGGTGTATACCCTTAACGGCGCAGTGGCCTAATCGCTAGAACATCCGTCTC